GAGAGTGTCCTTACAGCAGTGAAGTCACCCTGTTCTGGAGACAGCTAGATGTTGTGGCTTTACCCCAGCCAGCAACTAAGCACCACACAGCCGCTCGCTCACTGCCCCGCCCCCAGGGAGAATTGGAAGAGTAAAGAGTGAGAAAGTTGTGGGCTGAGATAAGAACAGTTTAATAATTGAAATAAAATAAAGATAATAAAAATAAAGATAATAATGATGATGATAATGATGATAATAATAATATACAAAGCAAGTGATGCACGATGCAATGGCTCACCACCTGCTGACCAATGCCCAGCCCGTCCCCCAGCAGCGGTCCCTGCCCCCCGGCCAGCTCCCCCAGTTTCCATACTGGGCAGGAGGCCCCATGGGCTGGAATAGCCCCGTGGGCAGGCGGGGTCGGCTGTCCTGGCCGTGCCCCCTCCCAGCTCCTTGTTCCCCTGGCAGAGCAGGGGAAGCTGAAAAGTCCTTGCCTGGTGTAAGCCCTGCTCAGCACCAACGGAGCCATCCGGGTGTTACCAACGTTCTTCCCATCCGAAACCCCAACCCCAGCGCTGGGCCCGCTGCCAGGGAGAAAATTAACTCCATCCCCGCCGAAAGCAGGACAATAGAGTAGTAACTTTTCTTTGAAGCTGAGTGGGGTTTTTTGTTGTTGTTCAGGGTACCCTTGACACTTTGAGCACTTCCTTAATTTGTCTTGTGTAATCACTTCAAGACAGACTGTATTTCTGTTATATCCAAATTGTGTTTTCATGCATTTATCTTTTCCTGTTGGAATATTTAGTCAATATGTTCCAAAACCTCAGCAGTCTTCCTCTGTATACAAAGGTAACATTTTTTTTGTACTTTTTATGCAGTCCTTTTGTGGTGATGCTGAAACCTTTGATGTAGCTGCAAACTATAAATTCATTTGCTCCAAATTAGATTTTCTTCCCTCAGGAAATCCAGGTGGTCTTTATACAGAGTAGAGCCAAAGCAAAAAACCAAGGAACTACATATAATTGTAAAAATTAAGAGTATGGTGATCTGTATGTAAAGCCTAGCCTCACTTCTCATTCACACAGATAAATTCTGAATTTTTTCAAACACGCCTAATCTGTTAGTTGAAGCTGAGGAGAAAGATACTGTACTTAGCCACTAAACATCCTTTGAATCTGGTTTGAAAGAATGGTTGTTAGCGCTTGAATTACAGATTAAGCAGTACTGTTGCATGTATTGTCCTGCCAAGTATCAGTGTCTTCTGGCAGTAGTGCTGCATTATACTTCTTTTGCTATCAGATTTAATTATATGCACAGCAACTTTAAAGGGAAAGTACAGGAGTTGCATAGAGTTGTCTTTCTCATCCCAATTACTGAAGGATAGAATAAGTCTCAGCAGTTTCGGATTTCTTGATTCATGACTTATTACCATGAGATGCTTTTATTTCAGTATAGTCACATAATTTGTTGCTCTCTGTATAGTACAAAAGTAACACGCTTCTCTAAAAATAACCTGCTTAATTTGTGGGCATACTGAGCGGAATACAGCTTGAACATTCTGTTTGAAATTACAGACTGTAACACGAAAAATACCTTTTAACTGAAGTTAATATACATATATAATAATAAAATACCTTTTAACTGAAGTTTCTGAGGAACCTCATCAACTTGGACCTCCTTTGAGCAGGGGCTATAACCTCTGAAGGTCCCTTCCAACATAAACTATTCTAGGATTCCTTGAGACTGTTAAGTAGATGTACCACTGCATAAGGAAAAAAAAACCACAAACCAACAACTTTAGACAGAGTAATTCAAAGGATTTTTTTTTGCAGTGAGAGAATAATAAAAAAAGTTATTTGATGTAATGTGGAATAATCAGAAGAATTTTTCAAAAGTTCCTTCTAGCAAGAAAAAGATCAAACACCCTGGTGTCAGAGCAGATTGTCCAGCTTAAAACTGCTAACAGTGCTGTCCACCTCTTTCATGCTGCCAGTCTTCAAAAGATTGGGACTCCAATCCAGTTTCACCACCTAATACAGAACAATCAAAAAAGGTATTTCTGTGATTATATTGTTTGATAATGGAGAATTAAGCATCTGGTAATTCTGAAGGTTTTACTTACAGTGGTACATTTTGGGGTGAAGTCTCACGAACTATTAGGAAATTGTGTGAATTCACTATGTGTTATGAATTCACTTTTACTTTACTACTGTTCTTCCCTGTACTTTTTTTGTTCTTAAGTATGTCATACTGAATTGTGAGTAGAATTTTACAGGATACCAGAATCTATAGCATTTTAAGCCAGGAAGTGAAAGACTTCTGTTAATAAACTTTACAATATCTCTCTGAGGTAAAAAAATATATATTATGCACAGTTTATAGATTGTCTAATTGAGACATAAGTACTACATGATAGTTCAAGGTTAAATAATGACTCAATAGCCAAAAAGAGCAACTGAGATATAAAACTCAGTTGAGCCTCCAGCCTTTTTTTTTCCTTGCACAAGGTATTCATACCCTTATTTCACTTAGAGTGAAAAAACCTAATTAAAAAGTAAAAATCAATTTACTAGGCTAGTCAAAAGGATTTAATGGGAATTATTCCCTATACAAACATTGTTTTTGTGCATGGACAAATTGGGTTATAGAGGTCTTCAATCTTGTTGGGGAAAAAATCTAACAAAAAAAATTGACCACGCGCTATATATACTTTAAAATAAATGTCCTATATAAGTGAAGATTGGTAATATTACAACACTTAGTTAAAATCTGCTTGCAATCCAAACTTTGATTGAAATAGCAACTCTCAGGCTGCCTTACTGCATTCACTGTTATGATAGAAAAACAATTGTAAAATTGTACAGACAGCTCCCTATTTCTCCTACTCATAAACCAAAGTGAATATAAAGAAAAGCTAATTGCTATTCTATTTCAAAACCTGAAAACCAACAAAGCTCAAACAGAACAGAATGAAACCATCCCAATAACTTGAAATTTCTGGAAAAATGTCTGAATTGCCAGTTTGCAAGCACAGTTACATACATTTCCTAGCTATTACATAAATAACATAGCTAACCTGCTGTTAACTACGTATGCTGTGTCTAGGCCACACCCTGCAAAACTTAGACGGTTAGCCAAGGCTCAAGTTTAAGCTATCACAGGCAGATATCAGCATATAAACTTCTAGTATTTTCTGAAAACTAAAGCAAAAAGCATTGAATTGTGGTCTAATTTAGTTAGCAAATCTTTTCAAGCCTCACTGCCACCAAAATCCTTCTTTTAGGTCCCAGGCATACAGTGCGCACTACCCTTTTCATATAGCAGCCCCACCCTGTGATTAGCAAAATGCTTGACATAGTTGTGAACAGAAAAAGTAACAGGGAATTTGGAGCTGTGTTTTCCTTTCTACTTTCAATGTGCGTCCAAACAGCTACCTGGTCTTTGAGAGACAAATCTTGCTCCAATGTGAGGAATACTTAATGAAATCCTGCAAAAGACATCGATTTTTTTTTTTATTTTTTTTTGTAGTCTCTCCCTCCCTGCCATGGGCAGAGCTCTTGCTGCATGTCGCACCCAGGGCAATAGCGTTGTTTCCCCAATGGAGAGTAACAAACACGTCTGCTGACACAGGAGCTGTACTGAGTCATGCAGAACCAAAAGGAAATAGCACTAAGAGTAGCGGGACTTTTTGGTTTTTAGCATAAAAATTAGGGACACCCCCTCGCCAATCACCCTTTAATTACAGAGACGGAGGCTGGCACAGGCAGCGATAAATACAACAGGTGGACCTCTGGATGCTCATGTGATGCTAATTTATCCTCTTGTATTAAAGAGGCTGAGAGGACATCCCCTACATTAAAAGATGTAAATGCACCTTTCGCTGTGGGGAGCTGCGGCCTGAGGTGGTCGCCAGCTGCTGCTGGGTGGCGGTTTTCTGGGGCTCCCGAGGACGCCCAAGGGCCGGGGGTTTC